CCACCTACTGTTAATTCAAAACTTAGATGATAGGAAATTTGAAGTAACAAATGTATGTGTTAAAAGTACATTTTAAAGATTTTATTCAAATTTTGAAATTTGAAAACCCATTCTGCTACTTACTTATTACTGAAACCAGTGATTCTCAGATGTGGTCCCCAGATCAGCAGCAGCACCCTCACCATAAAACTTGTTAAAATGAAAATCTTAGGTCCCCACCCCACACCTACTGAATCAGAAACTCTGAGGAAAGGGCTCAGCAAGCCCTCCACGTGGTTCTGATGCCCACCACAGTTTGAGAACCACTGGCTTAAACTATCCGGTCCGTTTCCTCATGTGTAAAATGGGAGTTAGAGTACCAGCCTCTTAAAGTTATTGTGAGGCTTAAATTAAAAAGATTTTGCACAAAAGCATTGAGCACAGTGTCCGGCACTCGGCACCCACTCAATAGATGACAGCTACAATTAATGTTATTATTATTATTGGGTTTCGTTCCTGGGTGGCCAATGAATCAGCCCATGTCTCTGCATGTCTACTGTGAAATAATTGTAAAGAGGGAAGGTATTTTTAACACTAATCATTGTAACAATAGCTAATTTATTGCGCTCTGTGCCAGGCACTTGGCTAATCACTTCATGAACATTGCGTCGATCCTTATTTTTAAAAAATGCTAAGTGAATGGTGCTATTATTAGCCACATTTTACAGGTGAGAAAACAGCCTGAGGAATTTGAAGGGATAATACAGGTAGTGAATGGAAGAGCCAGGAAAAGAACTCAGGCACTGAGCCTCCGGAGCCGGGTTCATTAAGCACATCACCAAACCACCACTCCTGCGTGGTTTGCAGAGTGACTTTGGGCTGGCTGTTTTCACACCTATAGTGTTATTTCAGAAATCAGACGTTCACTACAACATATGCATAACGTCATAGCTATGGATGAATTATAGAAGAAGGCTCCCGATCAAGTTTTTCTTTGATGTTAGTTTTGTTTCTTAAGACAGCAGGGGCAAAGGAAACCCTGTAGCTGCCCTCCAGGAAGTCCTCCAGGATTCTTAATATCTGCCAAGGCGCGCTGGCCATGCAGCTCCGATGGGGGATGAATTGCTGATGACAGGACTGAAGACATCCCAGCATCTGTCACCAGTTATTTCCCTGGGTTGCAGTTTGGGGCACTGGTTACCTGAGCCCTAAGAATGTATTCAACTGTTCATTAGATAAGAGAGTCAACTAGGAAAAAAAATGCTTCCTTTACCTGCAGGAGGTGGCTCTTCAGGCGAAGATTATAAAGAGGAAATGTGGAAGCGTGACCTGTAATTAGCGTTAAGTATGTGTTAGCAGTTGTACTTATTAATATGGGTTTGGGGCCCAAGGATGAAAGCCAAATTTACACCATTTTTCAAGGCAACAAAAAATTCTGGCACATAAAATACCAATGACATCCCATAAAACAACTTATACATGGGCAAATCTGTATGTATATCAAAGGAATTTCAGAATAGGCTGCCGAATTTGTAAAATAAATATATTTAAACACCCATCAAAAAGATGTTCCCGGGTAAAATATATGTTCATTCAGCGCAGTGTTCGCTTTATCCCGGAGACTTTTTAAGGGTCCAAATAGGCGAGGAACAAAACCCCGCGGGTTTGCTGATTTGACTGAAGCTAATTTGTGTTTCCATTGCAGAGCTTCTGCCTAAATCTTTGAAGCTGGACCCCAGAGATATTACAAGACATTCGGTTTAATGTAAAACTTCCCCGTGTCCCTAAAATGACAGTATCAACAATAGCACCACTGAGCAAACACTCGTCTTGGCTTCTGCCTTTTATTTTATTTTTATTTTCCCCTCTTTTTAGCTCCACCCCAGCCAGCTCTTGAAAGGCCTTCTGTTCTGTCAGCCATAATGACATCTGCTGGCGGAGACAGGAAGTCATAAATCTGTAGGTCCCCTCTCAACCAAACCTTGTTAATGTTGCCATTTATCACCGGGGCTGGGGTGCCATCTCTGGAGGGCTGGACGCACAGTCCATTTTCTCCCAGACCCTCTCCCCAGAGAGCAACCATTTTAAAAACAGCCACTTTTTCATCTCGCGCTTGCAGACCTGAGAGTCAGGCAGATGCAAACCCTGCGTCAAGGCGCAGCTCTTGGACAGAAGCCACGGATCCGGGCAACAATAGCTCGACTTGACGTTCCGGCTGCAGCGGGGCCGCTCTGCCCCAGCCCCGTCCCTCCGCGTTGTCACTCGGCCCCTCGCTGCTTCTGGGAGAGAGATGATTTCCGTCCTCGGAGCCCCCCGCCCAGGGTGCAACCGGCCAAGGGGGGTGGAAAGGGGATTATGTCCACTCAGTTACTCTGCTCTGAGCTGGTTCAGGATGGTGTTTGGGTTTCATGCTTAGGAGTTCATGTGTCCTGAGCCCTGATTCAAGGCCTGTGCCCGTGGCCGGCCTGGTCGAGCCCTGGCTGCTCAGAGTGTGCCCTGGGCACAAGCGGCAGCCTCGATCTGAACTTGTTAGAAATGCGGCATCGCAGGCCCTACTGGAGGCTGACCTGATCAGAATCCCCAGCTGAGACAAGATCCCCAGAGGATTCCTCAGAGAAGTTCCTGGGCTGAGCTCACCCCCACCCCTGGCCCCGGTTCTCACCCTAGGCCTCCCACATTTGGGGCGGAGCGTTCTGTTTGCAAGGCCTTTTCCCGTGCCCTGGATTTTAGCAGCACCCCTGGCCCCTACCCACTAGATGCCAGTAGCACACCCTGAGCTGTGACAATCAAAAACGTTTCCTGGCACATTGTTGAGTGTCCCCTGGGAGGAAATAGACCCCCTGTTGGAACCCCAGCAACACAAAGCATGGCCTGTATCCTGGCCACATCGGTGTCGTCTAGGAGCTTGTTAGAAATATAGTCTCAGGCCCACCCCAGGCCTACTAAACTGGGATCTCTCGATACAGATCCCTGGGCTCAGGGATCTGCATTAACTCTCTAGGAGATAACACGCAGGCTCAAGTGTAAGCATTGCAAAGCTGCAGAGTATGAACAGGGAAAAGCAAAGCTCTAACTAGACAACCTTTGATGTAAAGTCACTGCGGCTGTGGCATTACTGAGACAGAGGGATGCACGGCGGCTGAGTATAGGAGCCACAGCCATACTAGGAGGGTCTGAACCCAGGCTTCCCCCCCTTTGCTGTCTTCATAACCTTGGGTAACTTACCTAACCTTTCAGTGCCTCAGTCTTCCAATATGTAAAATGGGCACCCGCAACAAAGCACTTTATCTCACTGAATTGTTTTAAAGTTAATAAGTTGATAATTTGAAATGGTTGGCACCAAGTGCTTCATAAATATCATCAGTACTATAATTTCCCTGTCTTTCCCTAGATTTTTAGGCTCCCTAAGAGCCAGGGAAGTGCTTTATTCCCTGCTGCTCCTTCCCAGCACCCAGCCCAGTGCCTGACATGGAGCAGGTGCCTAATGAACACAGTGGGGAAAGAGACATGCCTATGGAGAGAAGAGGGCGCTGGCAGGAGTGCACGGCTACCCATCAGCTGGAAGCACTGTTAGCCAGTCAATCAACAATGCTTATAAAATAATGAAAAAACTAAAAATGGAGGGGAGCTTCCTGTGTGACAGGTGTCATGCTACTTTACATGAGCCCATGCAATCCTCTCTGTGACCCCCACTCCTGTAGAATCTGGTGATGTCATTTCCCCATTTCACAGATGGGAAAACTGAGGCCCAGAGAGGCTAAACAACTTGCCCAAGGTCATAGTCTCAGTAAGTAAAGTATTTTTTAAATTCAGATCCCTCTGATTCCAAACCTACGCTAACCTTTCTTCCCTGGTGCCTCCCTGGTCTGCACACAGTGAACCTATGACCCACGTTTTCTGGGACAATCCTAATTTCAAACATTCTGCGCCCACCTTATGCTTATGGGCACTCGTCAGTGTCACATCACATGGGTCTCATTTTGTTTAAAAGCTCAAGCTGTGATAATAATGATAACTCTGCTCTCCACCCCTACCGGAGGTGTGACAGGGAGAGGTGCGAGTCCCTGAACTCAAGTGAGCACACTGATGGGGAGCAAGGAGACTGACAAAATTAGTGAATAAAAGTGGTTCGTAAGCAAGTGCTAAATACATGATTATAAACCAACAGACTAAACAGAGAGCAGCTAAAGGAGGCGTGGCGTGGAGCTTTTGAATACACCCGGGCTTTCAGTAGACGGTTATTGGAGGCCTGCGGTGCGCCTGGCACTGTGCTAAGAGGTGGACACACTGCGGTGAACCTCACTCCTGGTCCTTGTTGTTGGGAAGCTCACAATTTGGGGAATTNTAAGAGGTGGACACACTGCGGTGAACCTCACTCCTGGTCCTTGTCGTTGGGAAGCTCACAATGTGGGGAATCTCAGTCCAGCAGACTGCCTGGGGCCCTGCCCACTCCTCACACCCTAATTTAACTGTCAGCACCCTGGCTCTTGGCCTGCAGGGAGCAGCCCCTGTCCGTGACTGGTGGGAGGTGGTGGGTAAATACCCCAGCTCTCTCGCCCCTAAAGGAGTATCTTGGACCTGCATAGCCTTCGCAGGCTTCCAGCGTTCCCCACGGTGACAACCTGCCTGATACACACGGGCACCGGCTGCCTCCCCTTCCCTTACTCACGCCCTTAGTTCCCTACGGCAGTCATCTAGGGCCAGCTCCCAAACGGACCACTTGCTCTCAAACCTTTATCTTGGGGAACCAAGAGCAGAACACACAAAAGAGGATTTGCAGCAGCCTCGGGTTGTCCGACCATTTTCAGCCCGTGGGTTCCTTAGCCGCGTTGGCCTTCCCAGCAACAGTTAAGGAGAAAAGACAAGTTGCATTGATGGGTGAGAACAGCATTCAGGACAAGTCACTTTGACATAATCCTAGCAAGCAGGGGTAGAATCTCATGAAATTTTCAGGACAATAGGACGCTTAATGCCTAATCATAATAGATAAGACATGCTCCGGATAAGACAGAAAGGTGTTCTCAGAGCGAATTATATCATCCTCTATTTGCTTCTGAAAGTTGAGGGGCACCTTTGGGCGCACAGTTCTAATGAGTCCGGGAAGGCGAGCTTGACGCACAGTCAAGGTGGCATAAAATATACCGGAGCCCAGAACTTAAAGGCTGCTCGTCACATGGTTTCCAGGCTGCTCCAGTCCTTACATTCACTTAATGTCTTCCTGTGGTTAATGAACTTGAGCAATGGATTACTGGGCCAGCGACTTGGTCTGGATCCTTCAGCAGCGGCAAAACACTGGCACCAACTGCAAGTAATCAAGTCCAAGGGAGAAATGTGATATATGTTAAATCGAACAGCTCCCACATCCCCAGCCTGCCCACTCAGCAGTCGTCCCCTTTAAAATATACATAATGCTTAATTGCTGTGGCAAATTCTACACCTGGCCAAATCGAAACCATTGTTAAAAAGAGAGCCCAACAACTTTTGGGGGATTTATTCTTAGAAGCAAGCTTGCTTATGCCCGAGCGACCCCAGACTAGATTGTCAGTCGCCTCAACTGTTTCCAGAGAGCAAATTCCCACCAAGTAGAATAAGACATATTCTCTGGGTTGGTTGAGCAAGCCCATTCTAATGGACAAGGCATTTCAGGATGTAAAGAAATAAATTAGCATCTATCAACGGTGGAAGAAATAAAATTTAAACTTGGTATTACTAACAATGACGTCGTCCATGATCCAGCCCCAACCTCCCCTCCTGTGTATTTCTGCTCCACTCTCCCTAGCTGGCTCCCTGTACCTGGGCCCTGACAGATCTCAGTTTAAATGTTACCTTCTCAGAAAGGCTTTCACGACCTCCACCTAAAATTGGCCCTGCCTCTCTACCCCTTCTCTGTATCTTAACACCCACCTTATTTTCTCCCTATTAGTCTCCACGATCAGTCTGGGATTTCCTCTCTTCTGGCTCTTCCCACCAGCAGGATGGTGTACCAGGTACCATGGGGGGGATATAACCTGAGATGGCCACCTTCAAGATTTCACAAAATAGCTACTGGGAAGATGCATATTCTGAATGAGTTAAATGACATAAGAGGAAGGCAATAAATGATATACTCAAGGATAAAATTGTTTGGTACACTGGCTCTCATATTGGAATCATCGGGGGGGCTTTAAAAAATATTGATGGCTGGGTCCTGCCCCCACAGGCTGGTGTAATGAGTCTGGGTAAGACCTGGGCAGCGGGGTTTTTAAAATCACCAGTTGATTATGATATTCAGCAAAGTTTGAGAACAATGCTTTTTTAAATTAAAGCATTATGTACATATATAGAAATACACAAATCATAAGCTCCCAGCCAAATTCGTTTTCACAGACGGAACACACCAGAGTCGCCAGCTCCCCAAGAGCAATACGAGGCCCCCAGGAGCCCCCTCATGCGCACTTTCAAAGGCAGCCACCAGCTCGCTCTCTGAGCGCAGATTCACTCTGCCTCCCTCACTCACAGATTTAGAATCATACGTTCAAAGAGCTCAAAGAGCCTCTTTGTTTTGAAAAGATATGGACTAGAGAAGTTCGAATCCCTTGGGATCCACCCAGGAAGCCTTCCTGAGAGAGGCAGCATTTACAGAAGGGTCTGAAGGAGGCGATGGACAAAAGAGAAGAAAGGGAGTAAAGGGAGGGATGGGGGGACAGCACCGCGGAGAACAGGCGCACGCAGGACACGCTGTTTCCCCATCTCTGAGGAAGCCGATGGCGGACCTAAGATATATTTAAAGTGACCTTTTCTTGCCAGTGTGCTCAGCCTGGTATTCAGTCATTCCGCAAATTCTCACTGCAGACCAAGGCTGAGCCTCACCGGACATTGTCAACGGGCTCTTAGAAGCTTTGGCTTGAAGCAAACCTTTGTAAAAGGAAACTAACTTCGCACAGGCTGATTGACAGGGACAGGACTTAGGGTCCTATGGCATATGTCTGGTCACAAAAACATCACCAAACTTCTAAATAAAGACCCAAACATTTTAAAAAATGTGAACTATACATACATTTTTTAAAAAAGATTAATAAAAACAACTAAGGTTATTCTTCTCCAACCTGATGATTCCAGTTCTGGGTGGCGGCAGCCTCTCCTGGCAGTCAGGGTGCTCGGAGGCACCCACCCTGGACAAGGTGCTTCCGTCGCCTGGGGGGTCACATCCAACCACCTGCACTCAAGCTGTGACGACGACCTAGACACTCGGTTGGTCTCCCCTGCACACCTGAGGGATGTGGGAGGAAACCAGAGGGTCCAGAGAAAATCCACGCAGACATGGGGAGAACGCGCAAACTCCACACCGACCGTGGCCCTGGCTGAATCCAGGTGGTTTTTTTCCCCCTGATTTACCTTCATAACGAAACAACATTGAACGAAACACCATTATTCCAGGGCCTGCTGGACTGTGCCGGACTCGGGGCTATAGAGGTAAAGAGAAGTTACATTTTAAATAGGAGAGACAGGTAAACGGGCAAATACATGAGAAAGGTGCTTCCAGATGGTTGTACCTGCCATGAAGGATGAGAGGAGGCGTGGGACGGAGAGCCCTGGCCAGAGGAGATGACATTTGAGTTTAGATGAAGAAAAACAGATCTGGGGGAGGAAAAGGGAAATGCAAAAGCCCTGAAACTATATTATCTAGGCGGCATTCCGGCAACAGAGACATCCTCCCCGCCCGTGCTCCGGCGCCCAGTAACCGGGGCAGTGGCCAGCTCACGGCGCACGCTTCGCAAATATTTGTTTTCATTGCACTTGGTTGGAGTCCAGTGGTAAGATAGGCAAACTTACCAAGAAAAAAAACCCCAAACAAACCCCCCAAAATCAGTATGATAAATATGTGCTTTAATGGGGCAATCAGATGGCTTTTCAACGACACTTTCAATTGACTCCAACAACAGCTGCCCGGGCTGCTCCTTGCATGTGCGAACTACTCACTTGATTCCCTTGTTACAAAATTCTGCTTTTGCACAAGGAGGTTCCCATACCTGGCATCTTATCAGAATCACCTGGGAACTTTTAAAATTTCAGATTTTCTGGCCCCACCCTGGAGTCTAATTTAGTAATTCTTGGGTGGGGCTTGTGCCTCTTTATCTTTAAAAACCAAAAAATCCCAGGTGATTCTGATGTCGAGCCAGTGTGGGAATGAGTGTTCTGGAAGATCCAGTTGAGTCATCCCAATCCCTTCATGCCTTTACACATCCCGCAGCTTGAGTGTTGGACTCTAGGATGCTACGTTCCCTGAAGACCCAAACATAGCATCGTTCCAAGCCACCAACTCTTGGAAGAAGTTTCCAAAAGTGCTAGAGACTCTGTGGTTGAGCAACGTATTTTGCAAATTCTAGCCATGCCTTTCTGTATCACCTTCCTCACATGTGCCGTCTCCACATCCCACCTGAAACATTATTTATGCTCTATCACCCCTTAGCTATATTTATTTTTAAAACCTTTAAATTATATTAAACTTTAGATTGCTATCATAAATGGAGAACAGCATCTTCTGCGAAGATGGAGGGAAGCTTAAAGTGAATTCAATAAAAACAAACCATGTTTTTAGAGCCTCGCCAGATAGTCTTGTCCCTCGGCAGCTTCTGAGCCTGAGATCTGTGGTTTCTTGATTGAAAAATAAAAGTTAGCAATTGTTAGGCATAAAAGACTAGCACCAAACTGAGACTTTCTCAGATGGAAAAGGAATAACCTTTTCACTATGTGGTTCAGTGTTTGTCAATGTCATATCTACACCACTGCACAACATCTGGGCGCCAGGGTGTTATGCATCCCACTGGAGTGGCCAGCATCTTCTTTGTTGATAACCAGGCTAAATAGTCTACAACTGTGGCAGTCGGAAAAGAGTGCAAATTAATGAAAGAACCCTCCAGAAGACTGGGTCCAAGAATGCGACGGTAGCCAGCTGAAAGAAAGGTTTAGCAGAGGTACTCTAAGTCCCCCACCCCATTAACTAACCAGCTATTGAGAAAGAGGAGAGATTAAAGGTAAACATTTGGAGAAGGATCCTGGAGAGAGGCGAGGAGAGATTCTGCAGCCCCTTGTCAACTATTCCCGTCCATTTCCGTCCCGATTCTGCCCGAGCCTGGGTCCAGCTACAGAATTCCCCCTTCCCTAACTCTGTCTTTTGAGTATCATTTTAACAGAAGCTTTTTGAAGGCAAGGATCCTGTTTTATGCATCTCAGCATCTCCTGTGCTTGGGGCAATGCCTGGCACCTAACTAACATGGTAGATGTTTGTTAAATGAGAGAATGTAATGTAGATACCAAATCACAGGGAGGATTCGCTGTGAGCCGGCTGCAGTTTCAGTCTTCCTTCTGTTCAGGCCTTACTTCTGGGCCTCCCAATCCCAAAACTGTGGCTCCTTGAAGCAGGGCTGTGGGGTTTTACTCAGTAAGCTACGGTCCCTAGCACAGCGCTCGGTAAAGGTGTACTGGGCAATTAGAATTAACTAGGGTTGACACCCTTTCGCTGACATTGTCGGCCATCCAGTAGGGTTTTCTCCGCCTCAGTTAAGAACTAGGCTGGGATTGGGTGGGTTGGTCTTGGGTAGAGGCCACATGGGTGATTTAGGGCAGGTGAGTTAACAACTTGTGCCACATACATGAGAAGGAGAAATGAGCCCTTGCTTCCCGGGTGGGGATGTTAAAAATGATTAAACAGCACTTCGCAAACATGTAGCAATAACATGTTGTGGCTGACTAGTAAGATGGGAAAGTTACCCTTCCTTTAGCTCCAGAGCAGGGCTAAGAAGAATATTTGTGGAACGAGTCATCCTTGGTAACTCCCCTAGTGTGAGGGCAAAGGTGCAGGGGGCCGGTGTGCAGGTGGGAGGTTCCCGGTCACACTGGTCAGGCCTCAGTTCCGGCGGGTACACAGTGGGGGTGGGTAGTGAAGAGAAGAGTGGGTGCAGGTGAAACCCCATAATAATGATCATTATTGAACTCCTACATTATATAAATATCTAAGCCTGAGTCGGCTTTATAGTTACAATGTTGGGTGTGTCTGACTCTAAATGAACAAAGGCATTTTCAGCAGAAGTTCTCAAACTGGAGTGAGCAGGAGACTCACTGGTGAGGGTGGGGGTTGCTTGTTCAAAATGCAGATTCCTAAGCCTCGTGCAGAGGTTTCTGGTTCAGGAGGGCTAGGGCAGTCGTGCTCATCCAGGGGCAGTTTTGCCCCGTCGGTGTCTAGAGACAACTGTGGTTGGCACGCTGGGGTGAAAGGGTCTGGCATCTAGTGGGCAAAGGCCGGGGATGCTGCTAAGCATACTACATTGCACTGAACAGCCTCCCATGGCAAATATATGTGTGTGTGTGTGTGTGTGTGTGTATGGCCCAAAATATCAATAGTGCCAGGGTTAGAACATCTTTTTCTAGGGTAAAGCCTGGGAATGTGCACCTTAACAGGGCCTCTGGGGATTTTAACGTAGGAAGCGGGGAACCCTGAACTCTTTATTCCAAGGGCATCACTCTTAGAGCCCCCTTTCCTTAATACCTCCGTATTTAGGACTCAGTTTTGACTTGACTCTCTGCAGGAAGCCCTGCCTGGTAACCTCCTTCCCTTCCTCCAAGTCCAGGTTAATTACCCCTACAACCTGCACCTCCTGTCCCAGCACGAATCACTTGCTCCTTTCATGGTTAGCCTCTGCCACGGCAACAAAGGTCTCTTGAGGGCAGGGTCCAGTTTCAGACCTGCCCCCAAAACCTGGGCCGTGCCTGCCTGGCCCAGAGCAGGGCTCAGTAACCACATGTTGGCTAGAATCTGCCTCAGTTTGAATGACGGCTCCAGCAGAGTCTAGAGCTCCCCGCCCTTCAGAAACGGTCTTGTGCATTCGCTGGCCTTTCGTTCATTCAACAAATATCTCACTGGACACTTACTACGTGTCTTGTTCTTTGCCATTATTGGGGATGTAACAGTAAACAAAAGGGAGAAAAAACAGAGGAATGGGGTGGGGAGTGTGTGTGTGTGAATTTTAAGTAAGGTAGGCCTCTGGGAGAAAGTGACATTTAAG